ATTCCAAATATTGAAGCCTTAAATCAAAATAAATCAAAAACCATCTAGTCTCTTATAAATGTAAGAACCTTAGAAGAAAGGTGTCTTTTAAAACTCTACAAGGTCTCTACCATTGTGCTGTGATGAGCTGGCAGTGGCAAAATGTTTAAGTGAACCACAGAACTCCTGGGAAGGAGTGAAACAGTCTCTGTGTCTCAGTCCCCACCATCTACACCTGATTGGGTGCCCAAGGCCATTCCTGCCACCTCTGCACCCTCTCCTGTGTCCAGAAAGAGAAAACAAAACAACCCTGTCCCATACAGCCCCTCCCCAACACACTGAATTCAAAGGGCATCTTTTCTGATATGGGGACTGCATCCAGCATCCTCCCATCCCTATCCACGAGAAAGGGCAAGGGTTTGGTAAGGTTAGGGATTACTGAATGGAGGGAAGGAGATGGATTAGGAGAAAAATACAGAAACAGAGACAAAAYGTAGGTTACAGTGCTCTTCCACTGTGATTAAGGAGGTCTGGTAAGGGTCAGGGATTACAGTCTCRCCTGGGTACTCAGACACACCACCAGTCAAGCACGCAAGCACAGCCACCAGTATTTCTGGGGAAAATTCCAGGAGAGAGCATGTTGTGGCTCAGAGTAATGGCTCTAAGCCTTTCTGGTCTGTGCCTCAGAGATGTATGCATGAGCAAGCTCCATCCCATCCTATTGCCATTTCAAAGGAGTCTGCCTTGCTTTGAAATGCAGGAGAACACAGAGGGTCCCAGGATACAATATCCCAAGTTTCAACAAAAGCTCCGAATGGTACAAGCATTTACACGATGGAAAGTGAAACAATTACCATTTGGAGTCAAATATTCTGCATGCCAGCCTGTGGATGCCAAATGTTTTAACATAGACTAAAAACAGATCCTCCCCCCTAGCAGAGGAGCAGGTAACAAAATATTCAGAAAGGAAAAAGCAAACAAACAAGTTCTCTTCTGGGATTAGGGGATTTCATCTTTTACAGTTAAGTTTGCTTCTGAGAGGAGAAATGTTCTTAAAGCTTAACCATTTCCCTCCCCTTTTTGATCATTTACACATCCCCAAAATGTCACCAAAGCAATGATTATTTGCCCAGTACTGCACAGAAAAGAGCAAAGCAAACAGAAAGCAAGCCCCATATTCAGATCACACCTCTGTCATGTGCCTTTTCTCCTCCAAGACACTRCTACCTGGAGATGGGTATAGTTCAAATGTCCTATTAATCAGGGTTTCACAAATCACCCAAATCCCATGGCAACATTCAAATGTCTTCTAGCGAATATCCCTGAAAGGTGAAATGATTTCAGGGTCATTCCAAGCACATAACCAGAACAGCTGGGGGTAGGCAGAAACAAACAAAAGAAAATAAGGAAATGAAATATGAAACAAAAGAAAATAGGCAAAATATGGTTCTTAATTTTAAGAGACTTAAGATTGATAGTTTTAACTACCAGAACTACAGTGTGCAGATGATTAAACTTGCAACAAATAGATTCATTGCCCCYGAAAGCACATCCTGAATCATAAGTAGTTATGTTTAGTGGTGCAAACCAGGCATYGTGGCACAGAAATGACTTTAACACATCTGAAATACCTCTACACGGTCCAAAATAAATCAATGAATCAACTGCAGACTTTCCTAAATGAAAGATACTTCAACAGGTTTTCAAGCCCAACCCACAGTCTTAGAGCAGGTCCAGTAATTTCCTCTAGGTTCACCCATCATGAAAACCAAGGAACATCAGAAGAATGGCAAAAAATGCTTCCTCCTGCTCCATTAATATTCCTATTCTCTTCTCATTCTCTCCTCATGCAAGAAGCCCAGTAAGTTTCCTTKGAAAGAAACCCTTTCACAACTTGGGTCATCACTGCATCCCCTCCCTGCTCCTTTCCAGCACAAACACCTTTTTTTTTTAATTTATGAATGGGACTAGCACTGCACATAGCGTTCCAGAAACAGATGGGAATATTTTAAGATTTGCTTTTCTCTGCTTCCCTAACACTTTTAGAATCCAGTTTACTATTTCTGACCACTGACCTTTCCACAGAGCTCATTCACATGCCATGACAATCCGAAGAAACACATGTAAAATTATGATGCTCCCTTCAGATGTGTGATCTTGTATTTATCTCCACGCAGTTTTATCTGACGTTTTACCACTTTATTACTCAGCACAAGGACCCTCAATAATCCTTTGCTGGTGTCCTTCACGTGCTTTTAGGGATTTAATATCCCCTCTCCAYGTGGGCACCTGGCCTGGGCAGCTCCCAGGGGCCAGAAGGCTCCTCCAGTGACCACCTCCACAAACCCATCCCAGCTGCCTCCTCCAGGCTTCCAGCTCTGCTGTTTGCTCAAGGGGAAGAGGGAAGATGGTCACGTGGGCAGTTTATTTTTGCTGAGAATCTTTTCAGGTTCTTCATCAAATACCATTTGCAAATGCAATGAAGCAGCATCAATCCAGCCGCCCCTGCCCACACGCTCACTGGTCCCTTCAGAGAGCTCCAAWGGATTTCAGAGCCATGATTCCTCTSTGCAGGAACTCTGCTGTCTCTTCCCCAGGATATCAYGTTTCATCGTGTGCCCTCAATTCTGCTGTTCAGAACAGTTTCTACCCAGTTGCCTGGCACAGACATCAGGCCTACTGGCAACAACAGACACAAACACTGTGCGGATTATCGGGTTCTTTGTGGAGTACAAGGTAGTGGACAGAAGAGCTGTAATAAACTGTGCTGTCCCTCAGCTGGGCATGCCTGTAAGAGCCAAGATAATTTCCAGATGTCTCGGTATTGCAAGATACAAYGTTAGCGATAACGACTTCAGCTACYGCTGTACTTTCTCTTTGTTTGATTAAAAAAATAATATAGAAGGAAAGATTTGATAAGCTTATTTCTCCAGGGAAAAGAAGGGGTCGGGAACATACAATTGATAGAGGAGCCTGCATTCAGCAAGCATCCTGGCTGTGGGAAAAAAAGACAGACCACAGGAAGAAAGCATCACGTAAGCAGCAACACTATGCAAAGCTTGGTATAAAGAGGATTGATGGAGAGTCATCTGACCCCAAGCATTCCAAAAAATGCTGTCATGTAGCATTACAAAACAATTCTGTTTCAGGGCATATGTAGAAGAGAAGGCATTTGTGGTAAACCAGCCTTTTAACAACACACTTAAGATGCACTCCATTTATCATAGTCACAAACTCGTATGACGTCCAGAGAATCTCGGAAACACTGGAACATGACCAACCATTATTCAAATCCAATCAATGCATCTATTTCAGGGAAGAAATCATCAGTTAAATATTTTTGGACCTAATCCCCAAATTTAAGTATTAAAAAAAGATCAGTGTGATATTATATAATACCTAACATCATATTTAACATATGCATATATATTGTTACAAGTAAGAGAAGTCAGAGCATGTCTTGCTTTAGAAATCACGCACTGGAAATTTTATTTTTAGAATTCAAGGTCTCAGCTGTCCCACAACAGTCATGTCCATTTTGCCCCAGAAAYAACCAAATCTGATGATTCTAGAGATCTGCCAAGTCCAGTACCCTATCACTGACAGTGATCGACAGTAAGTGCCTGGAGAAGACTCTAAGACAAATGTGAATTCATGGATATACTTCCTCAGAATATTCCCCCAGCCTGCAATGATTTGTTSTCCCACTAACTCAAAAGGTTGTAATTTGTTTCTGCATATTTTATAGCCTTTGATGGATTTCAACCTCCAAGAATACGTACAAGAGATTTCAAATCCATGTACACTGCTTATATCCACAGTGCCCTGTGGGAAGCAGTTTTGTACTCTGTGTGAAGCAGCAGCTCCTCTTACCTTCCCTATCCAACTGATCCTAATTAGTTCCTTATGCTTAAGGTGGAAGAGAGCAATTAGCTCTCCACACACTTTTTCCATGCCAGACGCCTTTTGAACTCTTGGGCAAATACTTCTGGATCTGACAAGCTGCCATTTTCCATTTTGTCAGCTGACCTATAATCCTATCTAACACTCCAATCTCAAACCACACATTCCCCTCCATCCCAAAAAGAAAAAAGTCAAACACCCTGGGCACAAAAACCTTCTCCTGAGTTAACACAGACACAAAGCAGTGATATAGCAATTTTGGTACTGCTCTGTCTGTCCCAACTGCTTTTTTTCACATTTTCTCCATCCACATGTATCCTAGATTCTCTGGTATCCTCTCCACTTGATGCCTGAAAAGAATCACTGTTTTTTCATGCCTGCATCTTCATTGCTCTCCTTGTGCCAACACATTGATACTCAGATTCACCTTCTACATCTACATTAAMATCTCCTTTATTTATGGCCCACCACCCGTTCCGGGTACTTCCCAGTGTCTCCCCATCCTTATACAGCAAATACCATGCACATTTCCTTCATATCACCTGCTTTCCTCCACAGCCAGCCTCCCACAGGCAGTCTGTTCTTCCATCAAATCTTATGCTCAGTCTCTTCCCTCACTTCACAGGTTTCAAATTCCTCTTATTCCTTCCCCCATCAGACATTTCAAAGACTCCTAATTCAATGAAAGATGACAAGCTCTGGCCTCTTTGCCTGTAAATACTTTTCTTTATTTTCTCACTGTAACCATTAATGCTGCTTTCAGCCTGCTGCATCCATCCCCTCTGGGGGCTGCCACGATTTCCTCCCCTTCTCTTTCTCTTCTCTCCTCTGCACTGCCTATCCTTTGAAGCCCTCCCTTCCAAAGAACACTTATTTTGTTTCAGCACACTGCCTCTCCGGGACAGATGCCTACTTTGTGTTTGAAAGAGCACTTGGCATGCTGTGGGCATAAACAGACAAGGAACTGCAGATCTGACACCGTGACTGCAGCAAGGTTGACACAGAGCAGCCACAGGGAGGCTGCCCTAGGATGGGCCATAGAGACAGASCTGAAAAATGCAGGATCCTAAAAATCTCTAGTGGTCGTGAGCTAGAGAACTGAACACCCCAAAGCTTACCTTCTCCCACCATGCAGCCTTTCGCTGAATGATCAGCTGATGCAGCTGGTCTTGGAGAGCCATTAGATCTCTGGATAATCTGTCCATTTGCCCAGTCAGGTTCTCAGCCCAGGGGCAGCAGGAGGTCACCTCTGGCAGCCTTCTTTTCTCTACACGAGCATCCTGGGACTTGCACATATTTCCCTCTTCAGCCATATCATCCAACACGGTTTCCTAAAAAAACACAATAAAAGTTACTTTTCAGCAGGAGCTAAAATGGCTCCCCCCATTCTCCTGGTAATTCATAGCTAGGAATTCACTGCTGCAATCTCAGTATACAGTTGCTCCACAATTTCAGAGATATTTTAGGAGAGAACCCCCTCAGTTCACTATAACATATTTCCAAGTTAACAGAAAACTTATGTTGCTAACCTAGCTTATTTTAGAAAGCACTGCACAGTCAGCTACTCTCCACTGCACTAAAGCACAAAGTAGCACTCATGAGATGGAAGTGATCAGCACTGCAGCAGCTCTAGATACGCACTTCCTTTCAAATTCTGAGGCTGGATGCACTTCTATGGCTTTTTGTAACAAAGGGATGAGCAGGAAAGAGGTACATGCTTACACTGTTCAGGAGAGCCCCACCTGCTCTAACACCCACAGGATCACTTGTGCCCAGGGAAAATTCCACAAGTTGAGCAACATAAAGAAATCCCTGCTCCAGACTGGGCAGGAGCTGGCAGCTCWGCTTGACCATGACCATCTAGCTGGTTTGATAATTAATTGTGCAATTGCCTTCTGAGATAGCAACTGTTATTTCAAACGCTCAAGGAAAAAAAAAAAAACAAAACGATACAAAAGCATTTAAACAAAACATTCAGAGTCCATCTATACACTCTGGTGCACACATTGTGCAGAAACACAGTTTTCAACCCAGAGTAGCACAGCATAGCTAAAGGACCCAGAGTATTAAATATTTATTTCCATACTGTTATCAAGAAGACATTCACTAGGAGAGGTCATAATCGCTTTTAAGGACATAATTTGCATTCAAAATTATCTTTAGCAATTGAAGAAGTAATTTAAGAACACTGGCAGGAAATTCAGCAGTTGAGCAGCGTGGTCTGTACTCGGGCAAGGAAAAACCAAGTGGATAATTACTGGCACAGCAGCAACACTGCTGGATGAGACGTCAGAGAGGCAGAAGTCACCAATGTCACACTGTTAAAAGTCAAGCACCATGTCACAAAGTATAAACACGAGTCTCAGTGATAGAAGAGTGCTGACTGTAATGCTGACATACAGGTGAGGCACTTGAAGTTAAACACAGACAAAGGGGAGGGAAAGTCCCTGAAGAGAGCAGCAACAAACATCAAAAGCTCGAATGAATGGCCTGCAAGGAGACATAAAGACATCAAAACTTCTGCTTAGCCTAGAAACAGGGACTGGGAAGGCAGTGACATGCAAACAGCCTTCACTTATATAAAAGATTGCTATAAAGAGGATGGGAATTTTTTTTTTTCTCCTCTTTTTCTCTTATCTCAGAAGGTAGGTTAAAAACTCTGGCTTAATTCACAGCGAAAGACTCTCAGGCTCATGCAAGAAAAAGCTTCATAAGACAGCTAAGAATGGCATAGGGCACTGGCAAACCTCCTTTCTAGGCAAGCATTGGCAGTGGGAATTGGCACAAAGCAGCACCGAGGGCAGCAGCTCCTGCTGACCCATGGTCTAGTTCATGAGAATGCAGACATGGTGGGGACATTGACAGGATAACAAACTGCATGGAAATAAAGCAAAGGACTTGGGGTTTGAGCATTCTTCTGTTCATGCCTTATTCTGAAATCCATTAGGTGACAGAATTGTAAAGTAACATTAAAATTTGGACAATGTTCTCAGGCACATGGTATGATTCTTTGGGCTGTCTTGTGCAGGGCCAGGAGATGGGCTCAATGATCCTCATGGATCCCTTCCAACTCAGGATGTTCTGTAATTACCAAAGTCATTCCAGTTCCTGCAGTGATGTCACGGTCTCTCATGTTCCTGCCCACCACCAGCAGSAAGAGCTGGCAGCAGCTATGCAAGAACCATCCCATCCATTGCAAGGCAAAACGTAAGTTTGGTAGAAAGAGGAAATTACTGTATTTCCAAAGCACATCTCATTCCCATACATCCTACTGCATCCAGAAACAATCACCATCATCAGTGAAACAAAAGAAAAAGGTAAATTCAACAATAGTTTAAAAAGATGTGCTGGTCAGTTGGGTTTGTTCAAGTATTTATTTAGGACTGAACTCTGGAAAGCAGGATAACACTCCCCACCTCTTCAACATGCCAAAGACAAGTGTTTTGGTGGATACACARAAATAATTGCAGTTATATTTTGCCTGTTGGGAGCCAGGCCCATGCTAGTATTGATGCTTTCCAAAAAATCTTAAGATAGTAAACATATAAAGCAAAAACCATTAGAGAACTAACGGCAATTGGAAGCACCCTTCAAGACAGGTGAGGTAATTTCACACTGCCCTTTGCCTTGCTTTTAATGTAGAAGAAGGCAAATGGGCAATTAGCAGCCAGCTCACTGATTCTCAAAATATTGTAAGCTCATACAGCTAATGTGGTGTGCTAAAGAATTATTTCAGCAACAGTGAATGGGCAAAAATCGTAGAGAGAAGTGAGATGGATGGCATCGTTTGCACTCACTTGAGAAATCCTAAGATGCACAGAGAAGGGCTTATTGATTTTCTTATGATCATTCAACACAGTTCAAGGGGAAATCAGCAATGTCAACACGCTATTTGGCTGGGAAAAAATGAAGTTGTTTTCAATATCAGCTGCCTGCAAATTTAGTTGTTCTCAAGACTGCAATAAAGCTTAGAGGCCCTCTTCTGAAAAGCCATTTAATTTTACAAAAAATGTGCAACTGCTAGGTTTAAAAACTATTAAAAAGATGAAGATCAGACCTTTTCATTTGTGTTAACTATATGAAATTCTGCCATTCTGCCCTGCAATTCCTCAACTTGGCTGGGTGAATCCTGCTGAAGAAAAGAAGAACGAAAGACAACTATGAAAACATTCCTCACTTCACCAAAGGCTTTTTTTCCCTTTTTCTCAAGTGCTGTTGAACAGTTGGTTTGTAACATTTAATTTTGTGGGAGTTAAAGGGCTTTGGAAGTAGTCAACTATGTTAAAGTCATGAAAGCACCCTTCAAAATCAGTTTGATTCATTACCATCCACTGCCAGTAAACTGGTTCCAGTTGCTTCCACTCCAGAAAGGCTTCCAGCTGCATGGTTTCAGACTCCAGGAGCTGGAATAGCTGCAAAGGAGACAAAGGAAAAKAAATCAGGAAACCCTGATCACTTGAGAACTAAATTAAATGTGTATCTGAAGTACAAAAAGATGTGAGTGGTACACGGGACAACACTGGGTGGCTGCACAAGAACATTGTGAAAACAGCTGGGGAAACATGATGTGAAACTCTTTTCCCAGCATCACTGACTTATCYCTCACCCCAAATGTACAAACTTCATCAGCTTTTCCACACACAAATGTGAGTTTCCATATTGATTTGAGGGATCAAAGAGACATAGATCTGATATACATGCTCAAGTGAACGACCATTTTCAAATCTCCTATGTTTCTCTGAAAGTAGTTTTCCHCCATCTATCCCTCCACTCTGAAATAGCATGGAAGAACTCACTCTAAAATGTTTTTTATAAACTAAATAAACTTTATCAACTTCTTATAAACGAAAATGTATTTTATAAACTGTCTGATCTGCTGCATGAGGAATCCCTCCCTTTGCCTGAGAGTGCTCAAAGGAGAGATGTTGCATTATAGCTACACAAATCTTTTTTTTTTTCCACAAATTTATACATGACACACATGTATGCACACACATATATGAAGAAGACATTCCAAGACTAAATATTTACAAATCAGTTTTTAAAAAAAGTTCTTGTACAGAGTAAGATGAACAAATTCGATACAAATCAGAGCTTACCAGCTTTAATAATTTTGGTTCTGAACATATATGTGAAATGAATAATTTTAACACCAATCTGACAGCAAAGGTAATTTTTCAATATGACTATAAAGAGTGTAGGGCCTTGAGGAAAACGCTAAGAGCTAGACCAGTACCAGCTAAATCTACCTTATASAGACAACTATCTTCTGCTAGCTTTGTTTGCTTTAGTTACTTAGTACATAACATAATTTAAGTAACTGCAAAACATCAGTTGACTTTGCAATTTTATTATGCAGATACAACTTGAAGATAGAGGAACCAAAGAAAGGAAACCACTTTACAAGAGTAACTGCTGGAAATTAGAAGCAGTTTGCTCTAAAATACTGCTGGATCCAGGATACAATTATTACACATTTGCTCGCACAACAGACACTTGGCATTACACTTAATGACTCTGCTAGTTTCAAACTCAGCTGGGATATAAAAGGTGGAAGAATGGGTTTCTGGCTCATTTTTTCTTTTCCTTTTCATAGGTACATCTAGAGCACAAATGGCTTACATTATGGAATACGAGGCTTGCAATAAAACCCAGCCAAAAAGTTGATTAAATATTCAGGCAACAGCGAAGTTCCTTGACTTTAAAGTAGCTTTGTAATGTGGTCACAAGCAGAGTGAGATTGCAGTATGAACATGTCTTATTACACTAAAGAGGGCTGAAGATTGGGATGGGGAGTTTTTCATTCTGAGCCTTCAAAAAAGAAGGCTATGATCTTAATAAAAACACAGTCATCATCTTTATTCTCACCAGAATGTTGGAAGCGCCATATGCCACTTGCTTTCACAGCACAACTGAAAGGATATGGTTCTGAAACTTCACCAAACCTCTAAAGGATCTTATGGGGTTAACTGACCTTAACAACAACCAAAGCTTCCTGAGCAGTCTCCTAATCTCAAACCCTCTGGGATCTTTTGCATTTGGGGAGTTTTGTGACCTTTATTTTTTTGAAAGTACTTCATTAGTTATACAAAACTTGAACAGCTTGTGTGAAAGCATTCCTCTGACTCACCTGCTTACAGCATCCTCCCTTTCACTAAGGTATTAACACCTCAGAAATATCAGGCCAGCAACTGTGTGCTAGATTGCTTCAGCCATCAATCAGTAATGGGATGATGACACCCATCACAAGAAGAGTTTCCAGCCTGGCTGGATACCCCATGGCAGCCTCAGGCAAGCCTGCAATAGCCAACATTTGAGTTTCTACCCTGAGGGACTTCAGGCACTGCTGCTGAATGCCAATATCCTCTGTCACCCTTTGCATTGGCCTTGCCAGGCTTTGATGTTATTGCAGCATGGAGAATAAAGCAGAACACAATAAAAAGCAATGTACTACAAACATCCTTGAGATACCTTAGCAAAAAACATACAAACAAATAAACGTTCAAGGCTGGGAAGGGATAATGGATTGTACGTCCACATGCCTTGAATGTGGTCAYGAGGACAGTCTCCACATGACCCTGGGGTGACAGGTTTTCATTCAGATATGCCTATACTTGGGAATGAACATCTCTTGTCAGGCAGCTTCCTTCCCCCAGCCTCATCCCTTGCACAAGCTTCTTATGAGCCCTTCTTGTTCTTTAACAAACTCTGTTTTCTCTGACTTTGAGGTCACAATGATACGTGTTTTCTTAGGTCACTCATCACAATCACACCAGAGCTGGTACTAAAGAAAAAAAATTGTACCTCTGCATTTCCCCCCAACACAGTACCTTTTCTTACTCATTTAGTACCAACAACAGTTCACATATATGYCATGAGCAGTTTCACTTCTGCTACTCCATGAACCTCTAAAAATGTAAAACAAATTCCCAACCTGTAACTAAAGCTGCCTGCCCATTTTCAGTGAACTAAGGACYCAGATACTGTCATGCCTCCTAACGAAATTTTAAGACTGAAGTCTGTAGAAGAGCATCAATTTTGTCTCATGAACAAAACGAAGCAGCAAGTCAAAAAAGCGCCTCATATGGGTATCTAAGTGATGCTTAAGGATAATGCCTGAAAATTGTGTTTCCCTCTATACAAAATTAAGACAACAAAATCCATTTCCTTCGTTCTTCTGGAGGAAGTTATTGCTGTAAAATATTTACAYTGAGAGAAGAAGTAATGACAAATTCAAATTGCTAATCTCTGCRGAGAGGCAATTCCATAATGAACTGCTTTGCAGTAACCACTTCTTTAAGCCGTTGTAAGGAAACCACCCCTGGTGCAAGCAACAGCTTTGCTATAGAGAATAAACTGTGCCTCACTGAGCTGCCTCAGAGCAGCTGCCAGGAAACCTCAGTGCGATGCAGAAAAATGCCAGCTCTGTCAAGAGCATGCCTCACTTCCTCTGGCACATGGCTGTGACCTCCAAAGCCAAGCCTCCAGCATCCAAYGCAGATCACTGACCTCAGGAAACTGTGAGAGCTTCAGCTGAGGTGACACGATGACCTAGGTGGTTTTGGATACCTCCCCAGAGACAGTCAAAAGCCATCTGGACACAGCCCTGAGCAATGTGCATTCCCTTCCTTGGGCAGGGAATTTGGACCAGGCGGCCTCCAGTGGCCCCATCCAACCCTACCCACTCTGTGACACTCAACAAGAGGCCAAAGTTGAATCTTCCTTGGTATCCACAAGTCTAACTCGTGTGTTGTTTAAACATATTTGTAATTACTTTTTCTGTTGAGATATTAATCTCTTTCATATTATTTACCACCGTATTACAAAAATCATTAGTGCCTGTAGACTGTTACAGAAATCAATATTTAATAAATTTGCAGCATAATGCACCCTTTTCAAAGGCTCAGTTCCAGAGAGCTCCCCACAACAAGTATTTAATCTCCGATGCCCACAGCTCATAATTCAACTACCGTAGCACTGGCAAAAGTATTTTTAATCAAAAATTGCTCTGCCTAAATGTTCAGAAAATCATTTTATTGTTAGACAGACAAAAAATGATCTTTCAGCAATAAATTCTGTTTCTTGGCTCAGAGACAAAACACTGCTAATTCATCACCATTCATATATGTCTGCAGACAGAAAACTTGCATTGGACTCCAGAGCCCTGTAAACCTCACTCCAAATGCCAACAGCYCTGGAAAATTACTCAGGGCTTGGGATAGGGTTGGCTTAGTAGGAAAGCTGATATGGGGGAATTATCAAGACTATTCAATAATTGTATTTGTTTAATAGGAAATGGCTTTATTCAGTGTGCATTCGGGTAATCTGAATTCTAGTTCAGAATATCTAACAACCACAGGAGGAAGCAACATGGAGAAGTTCATTCCAAAAAAAAATGCAAAGAAAAGGGGTAAATATCCATGAAAGTTACACAGTTTGTTACCAGAAATAAACTGTAACTGGGATTAAGGTTTTAGAGACCTAACCAAGCATCAGATGAAACAAATAAAATTCAATACATCTTCTCCTCTATCAATACAAAAGTCCCTTGACTGAAAAAACATGTAAATACTGACAAATGAGAGCCTCTCAGCAGGCAGGCTGTTAGATGGAAGAAATTTCATTTTAAATGGTAACACAGCCTAAATTGCACTTTGGAAGGACAAAATTTTGAGACCCCCTTCACCAAAGAAAAACAGAGAAAATCTCAGTACCACAAACATCTCAGGCTGGGACAAACAAACAACACTGTAGGTGGACACACTCGGTACTTCAAGTTTCAGTTCCACATTTTGATTTTTCCAGAAGGAAAGCCAGTTTAAGACATTGCCACATATCCCTTGAGGGCTAAAACAAAAATAAATAYGTCTGAAAACTAGAGAGTCACGCTGAAATAAAAGCAGCTGAAGAGCAAAAAGCTACAGAACAAAAAGCAGCCTCTAGCCACAAGGCAAATAAAGACCTACTCTGATTTCTCTGCCTGTGAAGTATCACTGAGAGCCAAGACAGAGCAGGAGAAACACTTCAGTCCATCACGAGGCAGTGGATCTGAAAGGCTCTTGGAGGACAGAAGTGGATGAGAATTTCTTCCAGCACCAGATATGGACCCCATATGGACCTTGACCAACACCCCAGMAGGGATAGGAAAAGACCTCTGGCTCTAGAAACAGGTATTTCTGTGTCTGCTGAGCATCATTCTTTTGGAACTGTAATTCCAAAATTATAACTGGGGTTTTTTTGTGCTGTAAGGGAAAAAAGGACTTGGATCTCTCACAGAAGACACAATATATAAAATACAAAACACAGAAGCTTTGGGTGCAGGAGTATAATTCCAGATGCTTGGATATGTGTAAAATCTCCAACACCTAAACAAAAATAAGTKACTTTTTCACCCCCCAACACCAGTTTTATG